TTCTTCTTCTTTCGTCTCTCTTTTCTTCACCGTTTACTTCTCGCGTGTCTTCTAATGCGCATTTGCATGGTACAACGAGGTAACGTTACCAGTAATTTGCGTTATCATGATCTTACAGGGAGTACAAGTCGTCATCCAATCCGATGAAAGAGAATTACTTACTGAGTGTCTTTATGGGGGACATTATTGGCAGTCCGAAGCTATGTCACTTATTGGCGAAGAGAGGAAGAGCCTGCGATAATGGCACCTTGTCAGATTAGCTAAAAGCGCGATGTGAAGTACTTGAATCGTTTTGTTGAGTCACAAATATCTTGATGCCATAAAGTCTAAATATTCATGATTACAAAATAAATTATAATCCGTTATTTTTGTATAAAATATCGATGCATACGTTTGTATAATCATAACACGCTGATTGTATAAAAGATGTTCCTCTTTTGTTACTTCCTGAATTATTATTTCTGGTATATTTCTGCTATTATTCGACGGCCTGATTTTAAATCAGACCGTAATTTGCTTTTCAACAAAAATGCAAATTAAATATATAAAAAATTGTTACGAGATACACATGATTATGTAATCTAGCAGATGTACATAAATATTTTAATAACGTAAAGAATTATTTAACGCCAATAGTTGATTAACCAATGTAGAAAATTGCATTACGACCCAAATTCTGGCAAATTCGAATTAAAGAAATTCATTGCGAAAAATAATACCTCAGCCAGGGTTTGAACCTGGACCTCCCTCACTCTAGGCAGGCGTCTCACCATGGCATGTGGTAATATTTATCGCAGATATTTTAATATCTTATTTATAATTATAGATTCAATTGCGTCTTATGTTTAACGTGATTTTGCGTTTCTTCAATTCGCTATATGTCCATGACATAAATAGCTTCCATCATGTGATGCATTATTGCATGTACTTAGATATTATTATATGAAAATAAATTGTTTGACATTTAAGGAACCATACATCCACATGAATCCACTCATTTTCGAACAACTCTTGCGAAAATTGTGCCATTTCGTGTTGGGTTCATCACCCGTACGTTTACTCTTACACACATACACACACATGCGAGTGCGAAACGCACGTATGGAGTGAGAGTTGTTTATAGTGACGCGATACTACCCACGTCTTCCCGAGCGAACGGTTAATCGGAGAATCGGTTTCGAAGAAAGTTTCAGTTGATGCAAAACCTAGAAAGGCGACGCGATCGTTTTGCGTTGAGCAATAAAGGTACAGTTAAATACGAAATTGTTATTGTAAATTTAAAAAATTCGTGACCGTAGAATTGGGCACGAGTACGTTTACCGTGACATCGTAATGTTTGCAATGCGTTAAGGAGACATTAATATCGCGGCAATTTTATGCAATGTGATGCTAGAGTGGAAGTGTTTTAATATTGGACATTATATTTAACAGTGCGTTAAAAACTCGTAAAGTTAACCTTTACATTTCCTATCGTGCAATAAAGATTTGTATTAAAGATAAAGAAGGTTTACAGTTATAAGCCGCGAAATGATAAGTAAATTTATCTTCGTTTGGTGCCTCTCATATCTATGTGCCGAAGCTTATGCCGTACATTCATCACAATATTCCCAACAATCACCTGACAATACTCGATGCGCTTTTGATGTCTCTCGCAAGATTTACAATGTAACGGATTTGTTACGGTAAGTAATAACACAATATCCTCTATCGGCAGAATACATTGACGGAAATATTTAAATGGAAGGATCATCGTGTTTGTACAGGAATAATAATCAAAGTCGTCTAGTCATTAATAATGTTTAACCATACAGATGCATGGGTGAACTCGCTGTCGATCTTTCCGCTCGAAACAGTGATCGATCGTTAACTGTAAGACAAGCAAGCCAAACGGATTCGTCGGAAGAGAATTCTTACGGATTTCCTTATGGAAACATACTCTTAAGTCTATTTAATAATGCCCAAGTTCCAGCGGTAGGTATTATAATACTCCGACAATATAAGATTTGCTATCATTTATTAGCATACTGAAAATAATTTACAGGGATACCACGATTATCCGTTAGATTCTCCTACCAGTAATTATCAATTAGATACGCGGAACGACCGTCCTAATCAATTTGACGGGCTTGGGGCAAATCTTTTCAATGCATTGTCATCGATCTCTCGCAACGATGATTTGAAATGCGTGCCGAGGATACTCTGCGAGATGGCGAGTGGAAGACCACCGGGGGAATACAAGCGAGCACCAACGGGGAATAACGAGCAATACTTGGGAGAATTTGGGAGAAATGCCTTCACTCAGTGCGTATTCTTTTATAATATACATAATGGCATTTTTTTAATAATATCCAAATTGTGACAATTAGTGGATTATAGCAAAATCACTATGCTTTCATATTGCCAGGTGGCTCGCCGAACTGGCAGTAACGTCTCCCGTACTGAGTTTTGCCCGAGCCGCCGTCTTGGGTTACAGCAGCAATGGAAATCCGGCCACGTGTTACCGCGCGTTCCCGAGGTGTCCGCGTAATCCCGACAAAGTGGTGCATTATCTAAACAATCATAATGGGGGATTCTTCCGGTTCTTCAACGGAGTCGGACAGGGGAGTTATCCTCAATCGTCTTACGTTTCGCAAGGTAGAGCATGCGCGTAGATTTGTCGTGGGCGACATTCAAATTCAACATTTCGTACGAATTAAATCGCTTTCGTTTCTTGACAGATAATTCGGAATTTCTCAGAGAGAGAAGATGGAAAGCTCCACCGCCGGGCATCGCCGGTGCGGAGGCAGACCGTACGGGAACAGGGAAGCTAAAGTTCGACATTTTGACTGCTCGACAAGATTATGGGAAAAGCTTCTTCCCGAGAGAAAATACATCGGAGAACTCGGGGCGAGTGGTTTTTCCGGATCACGAGGAGCCAAGTGATCGCCCATTGAAAAACAGGATTCTTAAATCTCTGTCGGACTTACGAGACCCCGACGTGAATACATTTTCGCAGGATTCTTCGTTGGTTTTCCCACAGGTAAAGAAACTTATTATCCTTTTGTGTAGTTAGAAAACTTAATGGAAATAAACTAATGAGGGACAAAATAACATTCAGCGAAAATAAAATAGTAAATGATGCAAATAAAGTCGCATTGTATGAAATATTTTCCAGGAATCGGAAGACCAAGATGTTCGCGTTTCGCGTTTTATTCCTGAATCTTCAGAATCGGAGTCCCACAGCGCATTCCGGTTTCCACGTTAATACCGTCCAACTTTTTCGTTCCGAATAAAATTTTAAATAATATTTAGGACTGCTAATTATTACGTTTAGGAATGTTAATTATTACATCTTGTTTGCTAAATTAATTTAGATGCTATATGATCCGAAAAAAATTAATCAAGTTAATTTCATTACTAATTCAACCAACCAATATTTAACCAACTGATATCCGTGAACAATAACGCACACATTTTTTAAATTTATATTTTACATTCTATCTCCCAAATGGCTCGCGACGGGATATAAATGAGGGGGAGGAACAAGTCATTCAACCCTTTTTTTATGCCGTATTCATCCTTTCAATGTTACATAGTTATTCAATCCTTTCATCCATTACATCACGTGTAATTCAATGTTATATAGTTATTCAATCCTTTCATCCATTACATCACTATGTTGACGTGCATAGCCAGCAAAATACCAGAAATTGTAGACTCAGCTGGAAATGCAATTTTGATTTCGATAAGCAAGCATCGACCATTCTACGTGACAAAGCATATTTTATACTCGCAAATTCAAAGGATCCTCTGTTCGCACCGCAAATACTCACTTTCTCTCACTGTGGATGGCTTTGCATCCTCTTTAAAGTATACTTTTCAAGAAATGCAATTAAAATTAATAAATCAACTTAAGTAGAAGATTTGTCAGATTTTCCTGTTGTGAATTGTGTTAAAATTAATTATTTATATTACAACAAAAACTGTCAGTAATTTAATTTATTACGTATAAGATTAAGATGCGTATTTTGTAGCATTTATATAGAAATAATTTCTATTGCAATAATTGTGACGAGAAAATAGATGAGATTTCCGGAATTATTCTTGACGTTCACTTGTGAAATGCTGCCTTCAGGAAATATATTTGCCGGAGGAGTCTCCGCCTAGGTCTGACTTGCGATCCCCCTTGAGCGTAATAATTTCCGATCACTATCATGAATTTTGCAAAAGTATTGGCGATAACGTCTATGAGCAACTCGTATGTGTAGCTTTTCCGCTTATTGCTTAGCAATTTTAGCCACGTAAGGTCGAAACTTGCTCGATAGGTGATCGCACACAGGCCTTTCCGAGACTCTTCCCATTTATTTCAGGTTTTGCTCTGCCTGACTCGTGTTTTCTTTTCTCGCGTTTCATGTGATGATAGCAACACCTTGCGTTTCTCATATGTGCTTGCGTGCGCGAACAGGTACAAGCATTGCTCGACCCGCAGTCTTGAAATATATATAAGTGAGAAATGTATATACTTTTCATCAAATCTGCATTACAGTTCTTTCGGCAATGATTATATGAATATTCAGAAAAATACTAACATACACGAGGCAGTAATAATTCCATTTCTCGATACCCACAGAGTATCCAAGAAATTTAAATAAAATATTTACGCTTGACTGGCGTTTTGTATTAAATGAAAAAAAGGTGGCATCAAAGAAATTCACCGCGAAATTCTTCTTTGAGAAAAAAAATTACGTTTAAAGAATCCATCGCTCGTGGAAAAAAAACCCCCCGTTTATTAAAATGCCTAAAGAGAATGCCAAGTTGCAGTGCGTGTGTCATTTTTTTCCCGTTTTCGGTGTGAAGCGTTTGTCACGCGGAGTCGCAGCTGCAAAATTCACGTATGACTTTCTCCAAATAGCGGCTCGCCGCTCGGTGACGCTGTAGAAATAGAACGCGCAACGTCGAAAAAGCGGCGGACAACGTGTAATTATTTTATCCTTTCTGGCGTGTAATTTGGGGCGTGCACCACGCTCGTGAACTCGCTGACTCGATGCAGGGGGCGGAGGGGGGTAGGGGGGGACGTGGAAATGGTGTGGCCAGAGTCCACGGCGATGCCGTAGCCCAGAGGGGCGTGTGCCTCGGACAGGGCCAAGTGGGGTGCAACTGACAGCGGAAGACAATTAGCCTTCTGATACATCCAATGTCGCGTGATATGCTCCGCGGTACATACGTAGCAGCTTCACAAAGATTCGTTTCACGCATCGCAACGCGCGAGGCAAAATCTCGGGCGCGGCGGAGACCGTTGATTTGTAATCTGCTTGACGAAATATAGCACGCGACTTGAGGAAATCGTGCTATCTAAATCTAAATTCGCATTGTTTGACAGGCTGCAAATAACTGAAGCATGTCGTATCGCACAAGCGAGACAGTCAATCAGCATCTCGGAAAAGCGACAACAATACTTCCGAGGCATTCGATTATCGTCGGAATTTTCGAGCGACACCGTAAATTTACTTCATATTGAGCTGCAAAATATCTCGGATCGTTGAATGACGGAGCAAAATCACGTGCGAGCAAGTTGTAACCGGCGAGGATACGATCTACGATGATTCCCGTCGTACTAATCTCGTGCCTATTAGTGCGGCATTATTTTCCGTGGTAGACATCAAAGAGGATTTCCCGCGGGCTCATTGTATCGCAACGATAATTCCTCGTTATTAGCAGCCGCCGTTGTCGGGGCGTTGGTCTCATGTCGGCTTACCACACCCCAAGTGCCGAAACAAATCCTCCCGAATTGGCGGTGCCGATGCAAAGGAGCTTCTACGACGCATAACGCAATAGCTCCGACAAAGGATCGGCCGGGGAGACGGCGATTGTGGCGGCTAATCCCCGTGAAAAATGCGTTGCAGGAGGACGAATCCACCGTCATCGTCGACGACGCTCAGGTGGAGCCGCGCGGGGGAGGACCCGAGTTTTTCCGACGTGAAGGGTGGATTAACAAGATATCCTTGGTGATCTCCGAGTAGCCGACCCGGCAAGTGAAAGTAAGGACTTTCTGAATTCGCGATGAGCTTCAACGACGCTATCGTCGTCGGTGATCAACGTAAGAAAATAAGAGGAAAGATGGGGAGAAAAAGAGAGTGTATCATAAAAGATGAAAACGTAATATTTATATCGAGGAAGAATTTTCATTTGTTGCAATTAAAATAAAAGAGATGAAACCCTTGGCAAACGACGCTTGGATCTTCTTTAAAAAAGAACACGTCAACTATTTTATTAAATATTATAAAATGTATAAAATCAACATTACAGTTCGCGTTACTACAACGTAAAGAAAGTTCGCGCAGTTTACGCGAGACACGTGTGTGCGTGGGCCACAATCAAAGTCCGTTAAATCAAACCCTACTAAGCAGCTTTAATGGTTCGTTCGATTTAATCAGACTGCAGTAGCTACTACGTCCGAGTTGGCCCGGAAAATAAGACATAAATTCCCGAATACACCCACCTATCGCGCGCGACCATAAAACACCGCCGCGATCTTATTTAGCCGTATATTTTTCCCCACGAGCGGCTCACAATGCCCCAATATCTTACCGTCGCAATATACCACGGGCTATCCTTTTCTTCTCGATGGACTTTTCAATTCGGGGCATCGGATCGAGGACGCCAATTCGCCCGCACAAAAGGACCGCGGCGACCGTAGATCTCGTTGAAAACTGAATCCCCCGTCGCCCCTTCTTTCCCCTCCTCCCCCCCCCCGTCCGCCGGTTGCTTGATGGACAGAATAATTCGGTGAGAATGAAAATTCATGTCCTTCGGCGGTCCTTCCCTACAGGCGCCACGATTTGCGCCGGGGCCCTCGAAAGCCCGTGAAATCCTAACGCGCTGGTCAAACCACCGGATAAGTGGGTATCAGCCGGTACAAAAGAAAAGATACCCTCCACCTTTCGCTATCACCGTCCACCAGATTTCCCCTATCCCTCGCAGATACGTGCCAATTGTTGGCGGAACGAAATGGTAATAAATCGGTACGGTACGCGGTATTATATTCGAACGCTTCTTTTATTGAAAAAGAGCCTTTCCTTGCGACGAACGAAAGAAAAAAAAGAAACATGATAAACGCGGCAGAGAGTTATAAAAGTGACGGAGACATCCTCGTATTCGCCTCACCGTCGCTGTGAGTCTCTCAAATATTTTTATTGCTGGCAATGTTCATCAGACACGTGCAATCAACGAAGATTACAAAGCGTTGATTATCTAGTTGGCGCACAAAACCACCCACAGTTACCGCCGTTAATGCGGACACGCACACGATCCTCCCCCGTCTTTAAAAAAAGAACCACTTTACCCGGCAGATCGGTTTTCAAATCGTTCATAAATAATGAATCCGGCTGCGGGTTGCACCGCGCAACGTCAGTCAGGCACGCTGATTGCAGCATTGAGGACACGTGTCGCGGATCAATCGTCAGGCGCGTGTCAGTATTTTCGTATCATCGCCGAAGGGTGCTCGCTACTCGTCTCTCTCTCTCTCTCTCTCTCTCCCTCTCCACCACCTTTTATCCCGTCAATTCCCTTCCTCCTTGATTCGACTACTTCCTTCTTCTTTTATGTCGTCGCCCCTGCTGCCTCGAGTTTGCACGCAAAGCCGAGCGAGTGTCGCGGGGAAAGCCAAACGACGCACAGGATCGGGGGTTTTTTTTTTTAAAGCGACCAGACGACGCTTTAATGCGACCGGGATTATGCGGCTGGACCGAAGCTACGGATTTTGCTCGAGATCGGCGCGAATAAGGGGCGTGCAAACAGAGGTCTAAGAACGTCCCTCGATCGCTCGTCCCGTCGATCGCTCGTCCCGTCGATCGCTTGTCAGCCGCTGGGATTTGCCGATTTTTAATTAAAAAAGCTGCCGGAGCTTAGATACGGTGTCGCACGCGGATATAAAACCGCACAAAGTAAAGCGAGTTAGGTAAAGCGTACTGTGAAAATTATGCTCGTGGTAATTTTTCCAAAGCGACTTCGTGTATATACAGAGGATAACCGCGTTATTTTTTAACGACAGGTTCTTTGATCGATTTGAAGCCTTATCGACAATGTCGAAAGAGATTATCACTTCCCGTAACTTTTGAACTCCTGGCATCTGTGCGACTATAATCTCGAAAGGGAATTTTATCAGGGCAAATTCCATCTGACGTCATTGAAGAAGATAATTATGCAATTTACTGTGTGATTTAGTTTACTTCGTGGAAAAAGTCCTCTTCGAAAGTTACTTTCGCC